AATATTGCTACACTGAAACAGTTTTGTGAAGAGGAGTGGTCCAAAATTACTCTAGATCGTTGTGCAGGTCTGATCTGCAACTACAGGAAACGTTTGGTTGAGGTTATTGCTGCCAAAGGAGGGTCAACCAGTTATTAAGTCCAAAGGTTCCCATACTTTTTCCTCCCTGCACTGTGAATGTTTATATGTTATGTGCAATTAAACCATGTCAACATCTAATGTTTGTGTAGTATTATGTTCAGCAGACTGTGTTCTTCTATTGTTGTGACTTAGATGACGCTCAGAGCACATTTTATGCCCAATTCATGCAAAACTCCACGTAATCCCAAGGGGTTTACATACTTTTTCTTGCAACTGTATGTGTCATAAAGAGTTAGGGAGCAATAGGCTTTAAATGGCTGCTGGGAATTAAGGATGACCCTTTCAACTGTTCTGGACTCTTCTTGTGCCTAAAACAGACCCTCATTAGTCTTGTTATTTTACTGAAAAAAAAAAGACTAAAAAAGGAAAATGAAACGTTTAAAATGACAATAAACAACCATCAAATACACAAGAAAGAAAAAAAAAAACAAATTCAAAGAACACTACAGGAAATAAACTAAATGACTCTAAATACATCCAAAATATAAAACTAAAAAAAGAAGAATTAGATTGTTTATTCAAGCAAATTTAACTTAAGCAGCTTAATAAGTGAAATTGAAAATGTCTGCTTCTGTGAAATGTCACTGTTGTGCCGAGATCACACTGCTCATCCCCAATAACTGTATGTAATTGGAACAAGCAATGATAGAATTCAGCATGTACATTTTTTTTTAATTTCACTTCTTTATATTATTTTTCACATTTACATGAAAACAAGACTATGCAGAAGCATTGACAGGAGAGGAGATATGATTGCAATATGTAGATTGCAATATGATTGCAATTTAGAAACATCTAAATGGTGATTCTAGCATAGGGAGCCTATGCAGTCTAAGGTTGCTTAAGAGAACACGCAGCCACTCAATGATGATGGACGAGAAGTGGTTTAACCTTAAACTGGGCAAGGGGTTCTTGATAAAGCAGTAAGGATGTGGAACTCCCTTCCACACTTGGTGGTGTCATCAAGGAGTGCCAATAATTTCAAATTACTTTTAGATGTGTCTCTTACGAAATATACAGGGATATAGGAAATGGTAGTGGCATAAATACACATGCACCCACACAGATTGAACTGGATGGACTGGTGTCTTTTTCAACCTTACCAACTATGTAACTATGTACAGACTGCATCCTGGTCTGTGCATTGGACCTACACAGATGTACATTACTGGATGCGCTTGGAGATCTGTGCAGGTCTGTGCAACTGTCCACCTTACATTGATTTAAACAGGCTGTCTGAACGACTCTGCACAGACCAACACCAGTCATGTGTTAGGCTAGGAGACCAGTAGCTATAGCAGTGGAGAGGCTCCATCTGACCAGCTGGATAAGTATGCAAGCAGGTTACCCTGGCAGATGACTGGGGCTTACCCGAGGTGCAAGGTCCGCTGGGCCAGCCGGGACAAAAAAAAGAAACCAGCACCGGCTGGAAAATAGCTAGGCTGCTCTCTGGGTCCACGAGGACCCAGCAAGTGGCAGCCTGCAATCCCGGATTTCCCCTTCTGCAGCCAGAGGAGCAACAGGACAAGAGGAGAGCACACCAGGCACCAGGTACAGTGCATTTGCGGTGTCCAGTGTATCAGATTACAGTGCATTGTGGTGTCCAGTGCGGTACAGAGTACATTTCATTGTGGTGTACAGTGCATTGTGGTGTCCAGTGCGGTACAGAGTACATTTCATTGTGGTGTACAGTGCATTGTGGTGTCCAGTGCGGTACAGAGTACATTTCATTGTGGTGTACAGTGCATTGTGGTGTCCAGTGCGGTACAGAGTACATTTCATTGTGGTGTTCAGTGCTTTGCGGTGTCCAGTGCGTTATAGTGTACAGTGCATTGCGGTGCCCAGTGCGTTACAGTGTACAGTGCATTGCGGTGTCCAGAGCGTTACAGAGTACATTGCATTGCGGTGTCCAGTGCATTACAGAGTACAGTGCATTGCGGTGTCCAGTGCATTACAGTGTACAGTGCATTGCGGTGTCCAGTGCGTTACAGTGTACAATGCATTACAGAGTACAGTGCATTGCGGTGTCCAGTGCGTTACAGTGTACACTGCATTGCGGTGTCCAGTGCGTCACAGTGTACAGTGCATTGCGGTGTCCAGTGCGTTACAGTGTAAAATGCATTGCGGTGTTCAGTGCGTTACAGTGTACAGTGCATTGCGGTGTCCAGTGCGTTACAGAGTACAGTGCATTGCGGTGTCCAGTGCGTTACAGTATACACTGCATTGCGGTGTCTAGTGCGTCACAGTGTACAGTGCATTGCGGTGTCCAGTGCGTTACAGTGTAAAATGCATTGCGGTGTTCAGTGCGTTACAGTGTACAGTGCATTGCGGTGTCCAGTGCGTTACAGAGTACAGTGCATTGCGGTGTCCAGTGCGTTACAGTGTACACTGCATTGCGGTGTCCAGTGCGTCACAGTGTACAGTGCATTGCGGTGTCCAGTGCGTTACAGTGTAAAGTGCATTGCGGTGTTCAGTGCGTTACAGTGTACAGTGCATTGCGGTGTCCAGTGTGTTACAGCGTACAGTGCATTGCGGAGTTCAGTGCGTTACAGGGTACAGTGCATTGCGGTGTCAAGTGCATTACAGTGTACAGTGCATTTTAAATATTGTATTGTTTTTTCCTGTTTTTGCACTACAAATAAAATATGTGCGGTGTGCATAGGAATTTGTTCATATTTTTTTCAAACTATAGTCCCGCCCCCCAACAGTGTGAAGGTCTGTGAACTGCCCCCCTGTTTAAAAAGTCTGAGGACTCCTGGTCTAAGCACTAATTGGTATTCACCAGAGCTCCTGAAGGTGTAGAGGGTTTTTCTGAATATTAGTACCAGGTCATAGTCCTCAGGATCGCCCTACCATGAGGTGAGCAAGCTGGGCTCCAGTAGCAGGTATAGCAGGTGGGGTCCAGCAGAAGTGATGTCATTAAAAAAGCCACAGGCCAGTAACAAGTGGTTGCAAGTTGGGATCAAGTGAAAGCGTGGTCGAGAAACAAGCCAAAGGTCAGTTACGAGTGGTGGAGAGAAGGACAGCTGTAGGTACACAGAGAAGCAAAGAGAAAGCACAATAATCTGCCAAACAGGAGGTGCAGAGATATGGCATTCCAAGTGGCTCAGCAAGAAGAGCTACTACCAGATGCAGCAGAGGTTGTGGCTTCAGATTCTGGTTCTACCAAAGGAGGTCATTGATGATTAGATGCTCAAACCAAATTTAGCAACAGCAATATGAGTTGGTTAATTTGACAATGACTAATTTGCCTAAATCATTGTACAAATGTAGAAAATAAAAAATGCGAATTAAAAATATATTTTATTTGTATAAAAATTGGCCTTGTGCCTGGGACTTGGAAATATTATTTTGTAGATTGTGGATACCTTCTGGTTAAGCAAAGAGAGGTTTTTTGGGGGAGTAAAAATAATAATTAAATTCAATGTGAGAGCACTCCATGTCCCTAGCAAAAACTTTTATTTCACACTACCATCTTCTTTGAACCTCAGATAAATAACGTAGTTTTAAGAAGGCTGCTAATGAAAAAAATCTTATAAGCCTCCATTGTTGATCTTCTTCTGAATATGCTGGCTGCCTGGTTGTGTCTAGCTTGAACACAGAGAACGCATATGGAAAGGTAAAGAATAAAGTCCTGATCTACATATTTGTTTTAGATCAGTAACTCAAAAATATTTGAGCCTTTGGATCAGCATGACAGCAAAGCCACTAACATTTTCAGAAGATGTCAGCTTCCTAGATTGTAAACTCGAAAGAGTAGGGCCCTCTAACCCCTCGTGTGCTGTTTGTTGTTGCTGTACTGTTTCATGTATTTTCCCCCCCCCTCTATTGTACAGCGCTGAGCAAACCCTTTGGCGCTATATAAACTCGATGTAATAATAATAATAATAATAATAATCTCAGCTCACTCATTTAACATCCAACTCTGAGCTGATTTTTGTAATGAATGCCTGGCTACAATACTTACCTTTAATCCAGAGCTGTCCTCTACAGTATTTCATATCCACTACAAGATATCCTTATTCTTCTGGGTTAAATGACGTTCAGAATCACTGAACCCCAAAGACCAAGAGCATGGTGTGAGTGCACGGCATAATGGGCTTGCTCCCTAAAGACTTCTGGTAACGTGAAAAAAAAAGAAGTTGCATAATGTGTGGGTGTGTGTAGTGGGGGGCCTCAAAAAAGAGACCCAGGGGGTGTCCAGAGTCGGCCTTTAACTCAATACAGATTTCCTTTAATTTCACAGAAAAATGACATTCATACTGATGTGTAACAAACAAGTGAATCGATGTGCGATTTACAACTCCTCTGGCAAAAAACCCCTTAAATGTACCTGTGTCTTTGGAGAGAACAGAATGCATTAAAGCAGTGTTTCAGCATTATTAGAAATGATATTCTTTTGTCACATCGAATGTTTACCAAGTAATCCCTGCTGCATGTCAATTAACGAATGTACCCCCTAAAGTGTGTATTTATGCTTTCCTAGAATTGCTTTATGCTTGAAAAAAAATACATAACTCAGTTATTTTATTTGCTTATTTTTAAAGTGGCATGAAAGCATAATTAATGCAGCTCTGTAAACATCAATACATCATTACATGCATTTCTAATCACTTGCCTACAGGGCACTTATACCCCCTTCCTGTCCAGGCCAATTTTCAGCTTTCAGTGCTGTCGCACTTTGAATGACAGTTGCGCGGTCATGCAACATTGCACTCATATGAAAGTTTTATAATTTTTTTGAGACAGATAGAGCTTTCTTTTAGTGGTATTTAATCACCTCTGGGTTTTTTATTTTGTGCTAAACAAACCAAAAACAACTGAAAATTTTGAAAAAAAAGTTATTCTCTTAGTTTCTGTTATACAATTTTGTAAATAAGTGATTTTTCTCCTTCACTGATGTGCACTAATGAGGTTGCAGTGATGGGCACTGATAGGATGCACTGGTAAGTGGCACTGATAGGCATCACTGTTGGGCACTGAAAGGCAACACTCATATATGGCATTGATAGGCAGCACTGACTGGCACTGTTAGGTGGCACTGATAGGCAGCACTGACTGGCACTGTTAGGTGGCATTGATTGGCAGCACTGACGGGCACTGATAGGTGGCACTGAAAGGCAGCTCAGATGGGCACTGACATGTGGCATTGATGTGCACTGGTAGACACTGATATGTGGCATTGATGTGCACTGATGGGCACTGGCAGGTGGCATTGATGGGCACTGACAGGTGGCATTGATGGGCACTGAGGGGTGGCACTGATGGGGCTACACTGATCATTAGGGCACACTGATCATCAGCGCCCTGAGGATCAGTGTACATGTCCCCTCTGAGTAATGCCGATTACCGTCTCTCCTCTCCTCATGAGCTGTCAGCGTGATAGTTCGTGTGGAGAGGAATGCCAATAACCGACATTTCCTTATTTACATGCGATCAGCTGTGATTGGACACAGCTGATCACATGACAAAGGCGACGTCATCAGCTCTTTTCGTTGATCGGTGATCTGCTATGTCCCAGGAATACAGCCCACCACTGATCGCTGCGCGGTTAGAATGGGAGGACGTCATATGACATCCTCCCAGAACGAGAGAACCGCCCTGCGCCGTCATTTCGTTATATGGCGGGCGGGAGGCGATTAAATACATGTTTGGCAAGTACCTGAATTTGACCTGGTATCAGCCCCCTGCAGTCTCTGTATAGTAGGGCTGGAGTGTGAGAGGAAGAATCAGCACAAGGAGCCAATCAGTTCATGTGCTAACAAGAAGCATGATGATAGGAGAAAGAGAGTGAGGGATGAGCTTACCACTTTGTTTTTTTCTTCGCCCCTGTCCTGTCACAGCCCAAGGGTGGGACATGACAGCCTGGGCTCAGAAGTTGGTTGCATAATGCTACACATAAGTGAACATGAAAGAATGAGGCTTGTGGCTGAAAAAAAAACAAACTATAGGAGGCAGCTCTGGATTGAAGGTGAATATTGCAGCTCTTTTAATTCATATATATATATATAATTATTTTTTTTAATTAATGTATTTATTTTACATACTCTCACCAGTAAATATCTCTGATCACCACCATACCAGTCATACGATGACGCTGTGCTGCACTGATTAAACATTTTATTTAATTCTTCATTTTCCATAAAATTTGGACAAAAACGTACAACTTCAAAAAACTGGCCAGGCATCCTACTAAATACCTTGGACTGTCTGCTTGCTAAAAAGGGGTCATTTAGAGGGTATTTGTACTGTCTTGGCAATTTAGGGCTTCAGGAAATGAGATAGGCTGTTAGTACAACAGGACTGATCAGTTTTCAAATATATATCCCAAAGTTTGTAGACTCTAAAATTTTCACACAGACTAAATAAGAGTCTCTTCTGGGAGAGGAAACTGGTGATCCAGCACTACAGTTGTCCTTGCTGGCCATTGAGTGTAATGTCAACACCCAGCTGGAGTCCCATGGAGCTTGAGAGAATGTGTCCATGTCACTCAGGAATTGAATGTATTGTATAATATATTTGTTTAACAGGTTTGGGTTTTTGGTTGTTTTAGTACAGTACTGATTGTGTGACCAGCGACATCAGAAGCAATAAAATCTTTTTGTAAAGTTCTCACACATCCATCATCACTAGAAATGTAGTTATCTCCTATTCACAATATTCCTAACTAGATTAGACCACTTAACACATGGAACTGATGTGCATAAAAGAGGTGACCCTAGCAGTGTGATGTTGCTTTGGCCCTACAGGCTTCAATGAGGAAAGTACAGCTCTGCTGGTTCACCTACATTAACCTTTTGCCCTCCAGAGGATTTACTCCCTTTTCCTGACCAGGACATTTTTTGCGATATGGCACTGTGTTACTTTAACAGACAATTGTACGGTCATGCAACACTGCACCCAAATGAAGTTTACAACTTTTTTCCCAGTAATAGAGCTTCATTTCGGTGGTATTTGATCACCTGTGCGTTTTTTGTTTTTTTTGCACTATAAACAAAAAAAGACCAGACAATTCTGTGGAAAAAAAACAATATTTTTGACTTTTTGCTATTGAATATGTCCAGTAAAAAATAAAAAAAATCTAATTTCATCATAACTTTAGGCCAAAATGTATTCTGCTACATGTCTTTGCTAAAAAAAAACCCCAATAAGTGTAAATTAATTGGTTTACGTGAAAAATAGATACTGGCATTTTAATTTTTTTTCTTTTTCTTTTTTACTAGTAATAGCAGCGATCAGCAACTTATAGAGGGGCTGCGGGACTGCGGTGGGCATTCTGACACTGGGGGGAACTGATTTGGTGTCACTGTCATCCCCAGTGACACCAATACAGTGATCAGTGCTAATAAAAAGCACTGACAATATACTAATGGCACTGGGCAGGAAGGGGTTAAAATCTGGAGTGATCAAAGGGTTAACTGTGTGCAGTTTTACTGTGTGCTGTGTATGTGCTTTACATTGTAAGCACACTGCTTTGTATGTCTCTGCTATGCAGAGCCATACAAGGCAGTGTGCAGGAGCTGACAGGGGAGAGATCTGTATTGTTTACATACATGTCTCTCTCCCATTGGAGATACTCGGCAATCACTGAGTGTCGGCGAGTAATCACTGGCCAGGACCTGGTGATTGACAGCCAAGGCTGCCAATGGCGGCACGGGTAGGGCTTGCGTGCTGCACTTGCATGCCTCCTACCCAGAACTACAAAATCGTGTGTGTGTGTGTGTGTGTGGTTTTGCGCACCCGTGCCACCCTGTAGCAGTATTTCTGCTATAGAGTGGCGCGGAACTGGTTAAGGAAACGTCCAAATGTAATACATAGAAAAATGTACATTATACATAAAAACATACCAGTAGAGGGTGCTGTTGCCCACAATGAGAAGCTTCATCCTCTAGACTAGAGAAAACACTTTGTATGCCTACAATGGGGGTTAATTCACTAAGACACAGGAGTAGTTTCAAGTGTCCATCATTTTATCACATTACAATTTTCTCACAAAAATATAAAATGTACAAGCATGTACATATATTCTATAGGTGTGAAATATTTTCGCATGATTAGATTGACAGATAGACATTTAAGAGGGTGGACAGCAAAGATAGTTATCAATGCACGTAATCCAGGTGTGTCCCCAAACCACCAAAACAAACAAAACACAAGGGGGTTACAGAAACAAGAACATAATTCATTGCTCTATTTAGAATAAACCAGCAATTACAGGCATCCCTTCCCTTTTATAGCGGTAGCAAAGTCTGATATTTTATTTATACCTACAAGCTCAGGGGCGGATTGACCATTTGGAAACTCGGGCACTGCCCGAGGGCCCGGGGTCATTAGGGGGCCCCATGAGATACCCCTGGTACCTTTTTCATAGGCTTTTTTGAGTTTGGGCAAGGACACAGGGGCCCCATGATCCCCTGTTGCCTGGGGGGCCCCATGAGTTGTCAGTCCGCCCCTGCCTACAAGTAAGCCTCTAAAAAGGGTTGTCAGTAGGTACAGGGAATATCTCCCAAATGTGCATCGTTTAGGATATATTTACTTTAGTAACAGCCCATGACGTCACTGGTGCATGGGCACTGGGCTCTGAATGGACTATGCCATCACAGCCATGAGTCTTGAGTGCATCACGGCTTGGCCATTTAAATGGCCGGAGCCCACAAACTCGGAAGGAAGACCGGATAGAGATGGAAGAACAGAAAACAGAAAACCAGTATCAGGGGCGGACTGACAACTCATGGTGCCCCCGGGCAATAGGGGATCATGGGGCCCCTGTATCCTGCTCAAACTCAAAAAAGCCTATGAAAAAGGTACCAGGGGCATCTCATGGGGCCCCCTACTGACCCTGGGCCCTCGGGTAGTGCCCGAGTTTTTAAATGAGCAGTCCGCCCCTGACCAGTATGTACAGTTGCATCCGGTGAAACCGGGTGGTCCTGTTCAATCTCCAGTGAACATGGGACTTTGTACGTGTCAGACACTGGGAGGATAAATCTGTAATATCACATCGAATAACAGTAATAAAAAATATATATACTTTTATTGGGTCATCATTAAAAAACAAGTCCACATCACATTTTAAAACCAAATAGTCTTTAAAGATGACATCAGCATGTGGTTACATTCATATAGCAGTGAAGATAGAAGCCCTGGCAGCGGTGACAGCGCACCACTGGAGGGCTTCATTTTAATGTAAATCTGTCATGAGATGCTAGAATGCAATGCATACTAGCACCATCTGACATTATCCTGCAGGGGCCCTTTTGTTTTTGTGGTTTACTATGGACCCAGCATTGGTCTTGACATCATGACCCTAAACTGCTGGAATGTGGCGGAGAAGAAGCTTCAGGGACCAGTCTAACTGCTAGAAGAAGTGTAGGATCGAGTAAGTAAATCTTGCAGTATTTTGTTCCCCTAGCCTAGACCAAAATAAGCAATTAATTCTTGCAGTCCGGGTATAGCCCCAATGCAAGGGATAACATTTTAGTTGCCCAGAGTTGGACTTTATCTCTTACATACTCATAGCAAACGTTTGCTTAAAAAAAAAAAAAAGGGATCTTTATTACATTTATTACAATACATTTTCAAACTGGTCAAATTTGTGATCCCTCTCTGGCCAGTCACAACTCTACCTTGGAGATTGCCAACCTCTTGCTTATTAGCATAGCATATTCGCAAGAGTATGGATGCATTGGAGTTGATTTACTAAAACTAGAGAGTGCAAAATCTGGTGCAGCTGTACACGGTAGCCAATCAACTTCTAACTTCAGCTTGTTTAGTGAAGCTTTGACAATAAAACCTGGAAGCTGATTGATTTCTATGTACAGCTGCACCACATCTGTGGATTACACCTATCTGTGGATTACAAATGTCCAGTTGTTCTGCTACTGTCAGCGAACTGTCTTTGTGTTACTGCCCAGATTCAGTGCTCTACAAGCCTGCAAACCAGTCAGCACACTCCTGCTTGGTGAAGCAGTGGTTAACACAAGAGCGGGAAAAAATCCTGCATAACAGTCTCCCTGTCGTCAAACATTTCTGGAGGAGGGGCATATACACCCAGTCTGCCCTGTATGCCCAGCGTGCTGAGAATGAGAGAGAGGAGCAAGATGGATGGAGTCTTTCAAGATGTGCTGAAGTTTTTGTAGCCAGATATGCCGGCGGTCACCTTGATGGACATGGGAGTCCACCTAGAGCATTGCAGAGGCTTTTCCCTTGGGTTGATCGGGGGGGACAAAGCGATTTTGTCCGATTTGCCCTGCAGGAAGCCAGTCGCCTTGGTCAGTGCCTGGATCAAGTGCGGGCATTGCAGAGAGC